ACAGCACCAGGGATCTGCTTCCAGCTCTTCCCCAGCTGCCTGGAAAGGCACCTGGCACAGGAGGCGGAGGCAGGGGGCGGGGAGAGGTTATTTCTGGAAGCAGGATAATCTTGCTCTTCCCAGAGCTGCAGGGAAAGGGAGCAGGAGTCAGTGTTTACTGGAGTTTCAGAGCTGCTGTGTGAGTTTGGTGGATCCAGCCCTGGGGAGGGAGGGATTCCTTGTCCCCACCAGGCACAGCCTCCCTCAAAGTGAGGGAGACAGCCCTTGAAACCCCACAGCCTCCCCTTGAAACCCCACAGCCTCCCCAAAGGGCTTTGCAGAGCCATCCTCCACCATCCTACACGAGCCCTCCTGCAAGGAGCAGGTCCAAACCCCTGCCCAGGTTGGCCTCGTTGATCTCAGAGGTCTTTTCCAGTCTTAACTGAACTCCAACAAAAGGGTCCTGAACTGCCACAGCTCCTTCTCCTCCAGCAGTGGCAAAACCAAGAATAAAACCTGAAGAAAGTGCAAAATCCCCTGCACCGACCCGTGCTGGCACAGCCAGAGCAAACACTTCCATGTTGCCTTTTCCCACTTTCCCCTCGCTTCCCAAGACCTCTGTTTGGATTACAAATGGCTGTTGCTTACCTCCCACTCCTGCAAGGCTTCAGGAGATGTAAAAATAAACTTAAAGAGAGCACAGAGAGGGGACAGTGCTCAGCTCCAAGCCCAGAGGATGCAGAGCAGTGACAGAGCCCCGACCCTCATGTTGCCAAGGTAAACAATTGTCCTTCACAGGAAAACACGTCAACAACAGGGCCTGGGCTTCCAGCTCCTGGATGCCCATTTGGTGCTGATTTTCTGCTCAATTTAAGGCAGCAGTCCAATAAAGGCTGCTGCTTTTTTTCCCTGTTGTTTGGCTTAGTTAAATGAAAGCATGTCTGCAGCCCAGCTCATTATCCTGCGCCCCGAGAGCGGCTGTGCGCTGGGATCCTGTCTCCAACCATTAGCAGCAAAATCCCTGATCCCAATTCTGTTCCATGCCCAATGTGAACTCCTCCTTAGCATATGAAAGCTCTGGGTCTCTGTGCAAAGCCAAACGAGGTCACTGCAAGGCCTCGGTGGCCGTGGCAGGGACACAGAATGTGGGGTTAGGCCCACAGCTCTGTGCAGTCAGCTGTGGATCCACGCCGCAGTTAAAGCACTGTTTTTCACTATTTTTGTGAATAAAAACCCCAAATCTTCCATTTGAAACTCTTTACAGTCCAAAATTCCTCCTTTTCCCTTGTTTAGTCAACAGGGCACCATGTGGAAAGGTGAGACAAGAGGTTGAATACAGAACAAATCATCTCACAGAGAGGAATCTCGGCTCCCTGACGTTTTTGAGACACGTGGGTGAACTCTGCTCTTCAGGGCTGCAAAAGCACCAGGAATAAACAGCTTCTGAGGGAGCAGGGCTCCTGAAGTGGGGACACGGGTGTCACAATGTCCCCAGCACGTGGGATTCCCACAGGAATCACTGCAGGTGAAGATGTGGCTGCAGAAGACACCGAGGACATCCCTGCTCCCATGGGACCAGGCTCTCAGGGTTGGTCATGCCCATCACATTGACCAAAACCCCCTGGAAAAGCCTCTCTGGGAGCTCTGCCCCACAGGAAAGCTGCCCTGCTGCTGCTTCCCACACCACAGCCACGGGAGCCGCAGTCCCAAAGATTTTCTGCAGAACCACAGAGAATTTCTCCCTGTTTGGGGCAGGACCTGAGGCTCTGTCTCTACTCTGTGCCCTCTCAGACCATCTCCAGGCACCAAACCAACTCCCTGAGGCACAAGGGGCAGAAGGAAGAGAGGGAAGAGCTACCCACCTTCCTCTAGCATGAGGGAGCCTGAATCCTCCACTTCTATCCATGCAAATAGTCCTACTGCAACTGGAAACCCATGAAATCTGGCACTGCAGAACAGAGGGTGTTTGAGGAGAGAAAGAGGAGAAATTAACAGGATTTTTCTTGCAGGAGAGGAATGAATTAAAGCCTTGGGACCAGGACTCTGGTGCAAAATGCTGGTTCAGGCCCTAAAGCAGCGTGCAAAGCACACAAACATGGGGAGGAGGCACTTTCTGAGACTCTGTGAGGCTGTTCCCAAGGAAGCACAGACCCCATTCCATGCACTTTTCCTCTCTTCCTTCCCTTCCATCCCCAGCTGCAGTTTAATTAGCACCAAGGAGAGCATCTGAGCCCTCCCCACTGCAGAGCCACCACGGGAGGAGGGGACAGCAGGGAATCCTGCAGGGTCAGCCGAGGAGACACCAGCCACGGTTTGTAGGGAAACTGCTCTGGGGGCTTTGGGAACCACCAGCTTTGGTGGTTCCCAAAAAAAGGAAAGGAAAGGTGGAAAAGCAGCTTTGCTTTTCCAGGTGGTTCTCCCTGCTCCCTGTGCAGGCTGGCACTGCCAAGGGCTGGCTCACCCCTCTTCCCTGCACAGGGAGCCAACCTCACCTCCCAGCACCAGGCAGCTCTGGCCTGAGCCCTTTCCTGCCTTCTTAAAGTCAGAAAAGCCCCAGAACCACATACAATTATTTTTCATTTGTTTCAGCCCCTTTCTGCATTTCAAAGACCATTCCAGATGCAGTAACATTGCTGATTTTCCAGCCCATGCTGTTTGAAACTACAGCACTGCCTCTAATCCTGGTTGTAACAAGGGAAGGAATTCCCTCACAGAATTAATCACAAACCAGCCAACCCTGCCAGCTCCAGCCTTTTTGCTGCCCCCACGGGCTGGCAATAAGCAAATCTCTGCCATTTGTGCTGTCCTTGTTCCCAGTCCTCTCCTGAAGCTCAGGCACAGCCAGGAAGGAGCAGGCACTGCTGGGTCCTGTTCCAGCAGCACTCTGAGCTCAGAGGGGAGTCCAGGAGCCTCCAGAGAGCTCCTCCTGCCCCACTGGCACCAAACCCCAGCCACAGAGCAGCACCAGGAACGTTTCAGAGCAGATGCAGCAGCCTGTGAGAGCACCTGCAGCTCCCAGCCAGGAGTGATGCAGGACTTTTTGAACCTAATGGCACCAGCATCACTTATTCAGCATTGTTTATCTCCAGCTGCCTTTTTGAGGGAGAGATTCTTACAACCCAACACACAGAGTTGTTCTGCATTGGCAGGCAGCTGGGGGCAAGGTTCTTCTCCCCTTCTTGTTGGAACAAAATGGTTTAAACAACAACCAGCCCTTCAGACTGATCCAGCACCACCTCTGACAGTTCTGTGTGTAACAATTCAGGATCACCCAGCTCCCCTCCCAGTAAAACCAGCCCCAGCAGCGCTCAGCCCCGAAGCCCAGAGTGGAACTGGCCCTGGGGAGAGGTGACAAAGCCGCTGTCCCTTCAGACATCTCCTCTCCCCATCACCCCCTGCTGAACACCCCAAACCTGTCGTGTCCTTGACAGCTTTGTCACTGCCTTGGTGGCCTCCTGTGAGCATGAGCCTCTTCTCTGTCACTCATGGAATACTTCATGGGATCATTAAGGTTGGAAAAGACCTCCAGGATCACCCAGCCCAGCCATGAACCCAGTACCACTAGCCCACGTCCCCAGGTGCCACATTCACAGGTGACCTGCACACCTCCAGGGGTGGTGACTCCACCACTGCCCTGGGCAGCCTCTGCCAAAGCTTTCCCTCAAGAAATTTCCCCTAATATTGAACCCAAACTCCCCTGGCACAACCTGGGGCCATTTCTAACAGTTTCTTAATGTAAGAAACAAACCAGAGCACCTCGAACACCAATTAAGAAACAGGAATCAGAGCTTCTACATCTCATCCTTTCTCCTGATGGGAATGAGAAGAACCCCCTGCATTTCTGGAATACCACAGGCCTCAAAGAATTCCAGCAATGCTGCTCAAGCCCAGCAGTTTCTTGGCAAAGCAAACAATACTGAAACCCATTCTGACATCCAGGGTCAGCTGAGCTGCACAGACTCCAGCAGGGTCATAGGGAAAAATGGATTTATGGCCAGCTTGGCTTTTGGAGCTGTGCAGGGAAAGGGGCTTTGGAAAATTGTTAATGAGGAGATTGGAGATTCAGCTGTGAAAGCAAAGTCTGGGAGCTGCCCATGGCTGATTTACAGACACACCACAAATCCCTCCTGGGCATATACGGGACTGAAGATGTTCTTTAAGTTTTCACCCTCCAAATACATTCCCAAAGGGTGCCAGGTGTGCTGTTCCCTCTGGATTTCAGGTTCACTCACACACTCAACAGAATGGCTGACAAAATATATGAACAAATGCACAAGCAGACAGATTTTCAGAGAAGACCTAAATCAGCACACAGATTTGGTAGGGCAGGGATCACTCAGTATAAAAACTGACACAAACCCCAGTTTTTCCTCAAATTTTATTTATAACTGAAGGATCCTGCAATCAACAAGCAGATCTTGGTTTATCTATTCCAGACTCTCGCTTGTTGACTCCTGCACGTTTGTCACCTTCCCCACACTCCCTTCCTGACATCCAGGGACTCCCAGGGCAGGATCCCACAGCAGCATTCCTGGTTTCACACTGGCTGGAGGTGAAAGCAGGGAAACAACCCAAGAACTGCCAGACAGCACCAAGAAACCAGAAACCCAAACAATCCTGGCTCCCAAAGGAGCTGGCAGGCCCAGCAGCAGCGTGGGGAACCTCTGATTAATGAAATTACAAATCAAATCATGCTCTCTGCAAGGCCTTTCTGCTTCACTTGGCACCAGCCCTGGGGACATTTCACTCTCGTGCTGGCACAAGCTCCTTTAACACAGACCACTGGCTTTGAGAACAACACAGGGCTGGGACTTCCAAAGGGCTGGGACTTCCAAAAGGCTTCACCACCACCGAGAAATCCTTTCCACGTTCATCTTTAGCCAGAATACGAAAATATTTCCTACAGCTAAAGCATAATGCAGAGAAAAAACCACTGGAAAACAATGGGACTAGGGAGAGGAGGGAAAGGGAGAGGAGGGAAAACACAAGCCCAGGGCAGCAGGAGGTGGCCCAGCCCTCACCTGCTGCTGCCAGCCCCACGTCCAGGCTGTTCCTCTTGAACTCACAGCGGCTCTGGCTCTCTGGCATAACGAGCTGGCGGCTCTGGTGCAGGTTGGAGATGATGGTGGAGAGGTCGCTGTCGCGGCTGCGGCAGAGGACAAAAACCCCACGTTAAGGAAATCCCATCTGCCCCCCCAGAACTGATTCCCCACCCCGTGTGAACACATCTGGGAGAGGCTTTTGTGTGCTCCAGCACAGCTGGATTGCAGGAGAGCCCCCCCTGCCCTCCCTCCCTCCCAGGGGGTGCCTCGGTAACCGCACCTCGATTTTGGGGAGTGCAAAGCCCTTCCCAAGCTCCCTCTCATTTCCCATCAAGGACCCTGCAGCTGCCAGAGCTCCTGATTCCAGCCCTGCCAGATATAACTTGCGTGGGCCAGGACTCACATCTAGGATGGAAAAACTGAAAGTGGAGGAATTGGCAGATCTGCTTCAGAATTAATAGGAAACTTGAACTGAAATAACTGATAGTTTTCTATCAGCTACCACCCTTCTATTCTTAAAAACCTAAGTTTTTCCATTCCATCACTGCTGGGACAAAAGGCTGTTTGATTTGATTGAATAATAGTTTTTCTCCTTAGAGAGGAACACACCACGAGCCTGGGCAGCAGCGTTACTCAGAGCTGAGGGGACAGATTTATTTACAAAACCCATTTTCTACTCTCCCCTCCAAGAGATCCTGAAACAATGCTCTTCCTTCTGGGGAAAGAGACTGTGTTAGAGCAATTCAGCATTATTTTGCCTGTTTTCCTTGTGCCACATTGCTGCTAACTAGGCTGGTTTAGTCCTTTTTTCTATTTTTTTTCCCCTTCTATGAAGAGGAAGAACACAAAAACCAATTCACTGTAGCAGATACTGCAGCTCAGTGGCGAATGCTTTTGCTGGCAAATCACTCTCCAGTTACAAAATATTCCTGAATAAATGATCTACAGAGAGCGAGGAGGAAGAACAAGGTGGAAGCCCTGGCAGGAGCTGGTGGTGCTGGAACATCTCCCTTTTGTTTGTTTGCAGGAGAGGCTGAGCTCCTCATCCTCCCAGCACCAGGGGCTCACCCTGACCTAAACAGGGCTACTTTTCTTCCTGCCCTCTCTCTGAAGGGAAGATGACAGCCAGGAGAGCCGCCTGGAAATATCGACACAAATTAGGAATATTGCCCGCCCTGCCCAGCCACAGCTCCCACCCAGGGGTGTCCTCACCTGGGCCCGGCAGGGCAGCCCGGAGGGTGCATTATCTGCAGAATTACCCGGCACTGATCTGCCTTAAATATCCCCCCGAGCTGCTGCCCCTGGCCCCAGCAGGTGCTCCCAGCCCATGCCGGGGCTGCAGCAGGGGCTAATCCGTGTCCAGCTCGCTGCTAAGCAGATCCGTTTAGGACAGAAAGTCTTTAGGTACTTTCAGCGGGCGTCTGGCTGCAGATTTTCACGGGAGGCTGCAGACACAAACAGCCCCGTGACTCCCCCCGGGATCCCCCCATCCCTCAGGGGGATCAGCAGCAGAAGGGAGGCTCGGGTCCCAAATCCTCTGAGCGCCCGTGGGATCCCAAATCCTCCGAGTGCCCATCGCATCTGCCCCCCCAGAGCAGTTCAGAGTGCTCCTTATGCAAGCACGAGGCTCATTACTTAAGCAAGCCCACAGGTGAGTGGGAAGCCCATTTCTCCTGTGCCAAGCAGTTTTGGGTCTTATCCTCTTTTAGCTGCCACCTTTAAGATGCATTATGCAAATATTTTGGTGTCTTAAGTCATTTATGGGATTAATGTGAAGTGATTATCAGTTCTTTTTAATCATGCCAATCAATAAGTGGCTGTCAGGGACAGAGGACAAATGCAGATAAACGCTGCCATCAGCACAAGGCCCGGAAAGGGCGGAGGAGAGGAGCCAGGAGAGCAGGGAGTGGGAAGAGAAAAATGGGATAATTACATCCTTGCATTTGCACAGTGCCTCGCATCCCAATCGAGCCCGGAGCAGCGCTGGTGTGTAAACACGTTCAGCTACGAGGAGGGATTGTTTTACCCACCAGGAAAATGCAACTCCCTCTCTCTGGAGCTGCTCCTCAAAACTCAGAGAGCGCAGAACACCGGGATCTATCCAGTGAGAACAGAACCCAGGAGATCTCCGTGGAAGGAAACATCCCCACACCAGCAGTGGTGTTCTCTTTCCCCCAAAATCTTGCGTTTTCAGGAGATTTTCCACGGGTTTAAAACTAAAATCATCGTGCTGTGCAAAAGTGCATCAGCAAATCCAAGCTCAGCGGGTCTGAGCTGCAGGCTCTGAACCCCACTCGTGGAATCAGGCAGAACCCAGCCCCTCTCCCCCAGCCCTTTCTGAGCCAGCACACTGGGATGCAGGAACTCCAGCAGGGGATGAGACAGGTGGGGCAGCCGTGAGCCAGGGTGGGCACAGAGGTGCTGCCAGATGTCCCCAAGGGTCACACGAGGCTCCCACAGCCAGGGGAGGTGGCAGCTCCCAAGGCCTGCTCAGCCAGACCCAGACTGGGAGCAACGCCTTCCAAATGTGTTTCATTTACAGCCATTAGCAGCGACTGCATCTCTAACGAGGAGAGGGATGAGCAGACTAATGGCTGGAGACAATTAACCAAAATATAAATCAGTGTCAGGGCTCAGCACAGGCAGCCAGGCGCCGCAGGCCCTGGTGGCACTCCCCGGGCACTGCTCAGAGACTGCAAGGAGTGACTGCAGAGTGGGGGAAGGAGGCAATTTGGTGAAAATTTAAATAATTTTCAATAGCGGCTGCCTTTCTGTTTGCTGCAGTCTCCGGAACCAGGAGACAAGGGAGCAGTGCCCTCGCTCCAAGTGGCCCGTGCTCCTCTCGGGGCGAGGCTGCAGGAGCCTGGCAGAGCTGTCCCACCCTGCTGGCAGCCAGGCTCTGCAAGGGCACTCCAGAGCGCTGCCAGGGCTGGGCAGCGGGCAGGAAAAGGCAGTCCTGTGCAGAGGAGGAGTTCCAGCCGCGCTGCAGCTCCCACAGAGGCTGCTCCAGTGTGAGGGTATCTGGGTACATCTGGAGCTCAAGCTGGGGGATGCTGCTCCAGCCCTCCCTGGCACGTCAGGGACTGCTCGGGGCTGCTGCTCCCTGGGGATGCACGGGAACAGGCAGAGCCCACCTGGCCCTGCAGCCACAGCAGCTCCAGAGAGTGCTGCGGCAGAACCAGAGCCAGCCCTAAACCAGCAGACACAGAATTCCACAGATCCAGGAACTGCAAGAGAGCTGAGGGAGTGCAGAATGAGTTACCAGACTGGGTAACTTTTCCTAATACTTAATCAAATCAAAGGAAAGCTGGGAAAACACAGTCCAGATTCTCTGAAGAGATGCAAAGGAGGAGACTGGAAGAGAAGAGAGTCAGGAAGGAAAACGGGGAGGAAATAAAATGGAAAAATATTTCTTTTAAAACACATTTCACCAGCTCTCCATCCCCTTAACGATCACCCAGTAAGTGCAGGGATTATATTAAATTTTACTGATCAATACAGCAGCCATAAAACTGTCCCGACCCTCTGCCCCTCCCTCCAATAAAGAAAGGAAAAATCCAATATGCAAAAGGAGGAATGTCAGGGCCTGCAGGGGAGAGGGCAGTGATCAGGCAGGGCAGGGGAGCTGCCTGCCTGCAGCCAGGGCTGGCTCAGGGTGTCTCACCTGGCTCAGGTGCCAGGTTCAGCTCCTTCACTCTGCAGTGATCTCCCTCCCTGCCCCCTGTGCTCCCACCCTGCTTGGCCAGGCCAGGCACCACGTGCGGCAGAGAAGCTCCAAGGAGATGAGAAAATCACCACAAGCTGCAGAAACACGAGGGGTTTTTCTCCTCTGTTGGTCTCAGCAGCACAAAAAGCCAAGTTTGAGGCGCCAGGAGCAGCGTCCCAGCCAGAGTAACCGGCTGCTGCAGCAAACAGCCTCACGTTGCACAGGGAGGTTTAGACTGGATGTAAGGAAACATTTCCCACCCAAAATAAGGGAATGCAGCCCTGGACAGGCTGCCCAGGGCGGTGCTGGAGTGCCCAGCCCTGCAGGGATTTGGGAGCTGCAGGGATGGGCCCTTGGGGACACGGGGCAGGGCTGGGTTAGGCTCGGATTTGGCGACCTTGGAGGGCTTTTCCAACCTGAGGGAGGCAGGATTTAGCAGAGGAGTGCATGGCTGGGGGCTGCCCAAAGCACACGCCCAGGGTCGGGAGGGATGTAAATCAGCGGGGACTGGGGAGGGAATAATGAGCTTTTTATGGAAGCCATTAAAGGAGAACCCAGATAGGTCCATAAATGCTGTTGCATCATTCCAGCCCCGAGAAACAACCTTATATAACAGCACAACTGTGGGATGGCAGGGCTGCTACAGCACAGGCAATCAAGGGTGCTCAGATTTTCTAGTTAACATTTAAAAAGAAACCTAATAACTAATTTCCAAACAAACATCAGCACTCCAGTCCAGCCCCTGGAAAAAAGAAACAAACCTGTATTTGGTGAATCTGGGGGCTGTACAAGGACCTGGAAGAGCTGCAAGAGCAATTCCTGCTGCAGCCCCCACATAAACCACCACCAGTATCATTGCTTTTCCCTCAACCTGCAGTGTCCAGCCTCCATGGGCCTTTTAATCACAGACTCATTGATTTTTAAGCCCCAGAAGGGACTGCTCTATCTCCCTGCCCTGACCTCCTACACAGAACCTGTCAGAAAATCAGCCCCTGGTGCTCCCAGTTAATGGTGGCAGCTCAGAGTGGAAAAAATGTCTGAGTTGTGTCTCTGCTCAGTAGGAACAGAGACCCCCTCCATCCCCACCCTGACCATGCCAAATCCAGTGCTCTGGGAATAAAGTCATGTTTATTCCAAAGAACTGATGAATCCCCTCAGCTTCTTCCTTACTAGAACACAGTTTCCTAAACAAATTAAAAAAACCCCATCATTTCACAATCTCTGACTCCCACACACCCAGGGCACCAAACCAGTGAAGGCTCAACCACCCTCCAGCCCAGCAGAGCCCAGAGTCACCCCGGGATAGGAAATTCTGGAATAACTTTCTCTCAGCACGCCTGGCTGTGCCCTGGCGTGGCCTCTGAGGCAAGGTCAGTGTCCCTGAGCCCAGCAGTAAAG